GCAAAGAAGCTAAATGCTCACGTACGAACCGCAAACACCAAACCAGACGACAGATTGTTTGTCCGCCTCTCCTCCAACAGTCCTCTACGCACCGCATCGGGCTATGCGATACAAATGCACTTGAAGTCTAAGCTTGGCAGTCAAAGCCAACTTCTATCAAATGTTATGTCAACAAAAACAGGGTTTGCTCTCCGCCCGAGCGCTGGTAACGCTGATGCCTTAAACGAGAAACTGGTAACAGTTGGTCTGTTTGGGACTGCACCCATTGAGAAAGCGCCGCCCTAGACGTCCTACAGGATTAAGAGTGTCCCTCGATTTTACGGGACAATAAACCAAAACTTGCAATACTGCCTCGAACCAGTCACGACCGAAGCCGTAACAGCTGCTGTAGCAACAGCAGCTAGCGCTACCCCCGTCTCCTTACTCCCGTCCCAGGATAATGAGACAAATATAGACAGCCCAGATATAACCTGGATTGTCTGCTTTCCTCAAGACCATAGCCGTCTTTCACACATTCTCTATCTCTTTGGATGCCGCACCGTCACCCGAATCCTTCCTAAACGCTCGTCAGAAGTACAGTGCAGGACGTGCTGGCTTTGGTACAACAGCCGCGCTTGTTTCCCTGCCCCAAGATGCCGTCTTTGTGGGTCTACTCAACACACAGAGAAGGACCACAATAACCTCTGCGTTGCACCAGCTGGATACACCTGTTCACCGTGATGTATCCACTGTCACGGCCCTCGTCCAGCAGACTACCCAACTTGTTAGCTACGGCCACAACCTTCTAATCCACCAAGGACAAAATCACAGGTTATTGCCATCTGGAAGATCTTCTCTGAGACACGCATCCGCTGCCAGGTAGAAGCAGGATACGTTAAACATTCTGACACTACCCAGGGCCTCAGCATCTCTCATACAGTACAGCGCACTGGCTATCCAACAGTTTTCCAGGGAGTAGTACAATCAATAATCGCAGCCGCAGGCAAGCGGACTCCTTTCTTAAACCTTTTCGAGATCTTGAAGACATCGGCCGGAGCGTCAGATAATCAGATGGAACTTTGAAAAGATAGAAGTCAACGTGGAAAACTTTCAGCTTGCTTTATACCAGTTCATTGTCACGGCTCGAGTGTCGATGCGGGAGCAATCAGATATACGAAGGTAGTTTATTATTTTCTCTGTGTCTATCTATACAAGTCCTACCTCAACTATTTATACACTTACTATACTATCTGGAATATTCTTCTCGCCTGTAACCAGTTTCTAGTATTTTCCCCTGAGGCTGGTTCGCAGTCCTACTACTAGTTACTAGAAATTTCTAGTGACGTCCCGATTGGTCTATGAAAGAGTATTGAGTTTCGAAGATATGTAAAGCACGTGATTGATATCATGTGACACTGAATAATTACCGGCTCACTAGCTGTTACATTTATTTTGTACTAACTTACCCTCTCATTTGTGGGCATTGCGTTTACACTAAAGGGGTTTATCTTTATTTTTTATTTTTCCAGCATATATCTTTTCCATCATTTATCATTGTCGTATCTTAGTCATCGGATACTCTCTTTAATTATCAATCAGGTCTCACCTGCCTTGGCTAGGGAGTCGTAGCCTTCTGACAACTGAGGCAGTAAGCCTTAGCGTCCTTTGCCCATTTGGGTTTTAGACAAGACGGGCATAGGCCCGTTTCTAGATAAACGTTAAACACAAAACAAACAAACAACATGTGTGCTTATACAGCAGGATACCAGCTGAATTCAGGGTATCTGCGAACTAGTCTTTCGCTCTCAGCGGAGATAAGAAAAAGTCACCTTTTTTTTTTTTTTTTTTTCATCTGAAAAAGTCACCTGGAAGATGTGGCAGGAAAGGGAACGGGCGAGAAGCGCGGGATCCGGACCAAACAGTATTTCTTCCAAATTTGATTTCAGTTTTTGATTTATGTTTTTGATGTTAACTTCTACAATTTCAGTAGAAGTTCATGCGGTTGGAATGAGTTGGACCTGTACGCAGTGATCCTTGCCGGCTCCACCGGTCCTTGACCCAATGTGGAAAAGATAGCGTTAGCTTAGGACCAAATGTAAATATAAAATAAATAAACATGTATGCTTACGCAAACAGTCGACCCTCCTCCGTAACTACCCAACAAAGAGAAATTCAAAACCTTAAATAATAAAAGCATGCCTTCGTCATCAATACATATTAGCGTCGTGAGAAATGTAGTTGAGTTTTGCCGGATTCGAACCAGCGATCTACTGTCTCGAGTGGGATATGTGTCCAAGCTATCCAGACTCTACTTGGCAGACCGGCCAAGACGATGTACCACCGCACCATCAAACCATGGCAGTGTTTATAGTCTCGCCAGCACACTCGCAATCGAAATCTTGACACGCACTAAGCTCAGTTTGTAAAATTCGGCACCTGTTAGAATCTAGAATAATTGGGACTATCAAGTAGGCCACGTTGTTGGTACACACGTGAGTACAAATTCTGTACTTGGTTTCACTTCGGTAGTTGTTTGAATCAATGCGCTCTACGACCTCAATGACTGAGGGGTCATTACAATCTTAATAGTACCCAAATTAGAAGGTTCAACCCTTCAATAGTGTATCCAAAGTTGGAATTTTCTCTTCCACTTATCAAAAACTCTCTCACGCCTTTCATGAAAGGTTTGCCTCTCGGATGAGTGCAACACAATCTGTGTCCTCCGGCGGACATTGATATACTTGTGGGCGTGAAAGTAGTGGCCATTAAAGTTCAAAGACTAATCAGACGAGAGGCGTGGTCATTGAAGTAAGGATGTACTGGTTTGTACTTGCAAATTTGTGGCTTTAGCTGGAACCAACCAAGTCGGAAGTATGATATCTACTTGATTAGGAGTACTGAATGATTGACTTGTGAGCCAGCTCACTCGGGTTTTCGAAACTTTACTGAACTAGGCTCTGGGAGAAAATGCATTCCCTGGTCCGTAGAGGATACTGCGTACAAGTGTTCAGTCTATGCCATCCTAATGTTGCTTTGACATTCTGGCTAGTAGTGCCCTTTTATCTATCTCTGTCTATTCCTCCCCTTTGAGTCTTATTGTAATTATTGTCAGAGAAATAGATCATGTCCTAGCAATTGGCAAGTACAGCCTCTAGTATCGGATTACACGACTCACTTGGTCACGAGCCGTGCACTATCTGGAAGGTACATTTGTCCAACAGTATTCACTGAGTAACGTAAGCGGCGAGTTGTGGCGAAGATCTGTCGAGTGAAGGAAAAGTTATAATTAGAAGACTCAAATCATTGACAAATTACTTCTCAGTTACACGAGAGAATGAAACACATTTAGTACAGAGTAGATTAGTGGATTACAGTTTGGTGGATGGGGACTACTATAAGACCCAACTCATATCACCACTGTGGGATATCAATTAAATACTTAATCTACGCCTTAAATTTGATGTGCAGTCTCTCTTATCAAGTTATACAAGTGATTAGAGCTCGTATATTTTAATAATTATTCCCAATAAAACGCTTAGGTTTCCTTCTGAGCTCAAACAGCTGTCAAGCCGTAAAAGGCTTTCACTGTAGTGTCTACACAGCCGAGATTGAGCAACGCCCTCCTCACTTTGATGAGGATTCCTAAATGCTCTTGCAGTATGAATCGACTTCATTTCTAAGTACTTTTACTTAGCACCATCAATATGTAGCTAAATTCGATCAGATAAGATGGTAGAGTCGAATCCCTAATCATCATCCATTTACTATTCTTGGTCATGGAGGAGAAGCCATCGGATGAGTTTCCGGTGCGTACCCAGCCACCGATACGGCGATGGTGGACTGAATGACTAAAGCATACTTGGATATCCAAAGGTTCGAAACTTCCCTCTCATGATTATTCATGAACGATGCTGGACTGTTCGTATCAGCAAACATAACTGATAACGGTATTTGCAAATGAAACTTGGAGTATATTTATCTCTAAAGCCAAAGGACTTATGCAAAAGCTCGAAAAGACGCTGATCATATTTCATGGCTGATTTTTGAACACAAATTTAATGAATCAATAAAAAACCTATAATCTGCTTAGTACTTTCATTCAATCTGACTGATACCATAACATTGTCTTTATAAGACCTAAAAAGTAATTCAGAATTTCATATCTCAAGATCTTTGCTTAGACTCTATTTGTATGTATATATGCAAACTGTGTCATGGTAAGTATTTGCAGCCGTTTAAAGGATCTAGGAATTATAATTTTTGCAACAGGACCAATATATATTTTAAGAAGGACTATATCAAGTCCTACCATTGCTTTTAATTTAATAAGACGAAAGTTGGGTCTATTATTATAGTGAATTTAATAGATATTTTCCATGCTATTCATGGGGTGTTTTGGACATGCAGGCGGGCGGGACTAGCGACTCGCTCGGGCTTTCATACATTACGTTGAATAGAAAATCGAAGAATAATTCCTGAGGCGTACATATGAATGAGATTGTCAAGTATACTGTTAATTTAAATCTTACATAAAACTAATAGGATCATACTCTGATTCATTTAAAATGTCCCTGAATTTTCTGTAACACAGCTCTCCGCTTAAGAGCGCAGCACAACACAATCCCTTCGACCGATAGATCAATGGAAATTTACCCCATTCGTTCCTGCTCTATGTGTATAATTATCGAGTCCAAGTCTATTTTGCGCTTCTAAGATCGCACAGGGCACATTCGTCAGGTATAAAGTTTAGGTCACTCAATATGAGGCACTTGATTGGCCCTAACGCCGTTAACGATCTCATAGAATACACGCGATTTGCTCACTTAATCTTTTAGGTCATATTGACAACATCATCCTAGAAGGAAAAGCTGTCCAAATTTAACTCACTTCGCCAAGTGCATCATACGCGCTTATCATGGTAGCTCAGATTTCCATCTCTCCTGCTAGTCTCAAATTGGAAGATTAACTCTGCCTTTCTCGTTATGCTGCTTTCAACATGCTAACCACATCTTCTACGATATCAGGGAAAACGCAAGGCCGCTGCTAAGAAACCCACTGGTCCGCGCAAGAATGAACCTCTTCCTACTGTTTTCCCATGCCTTTTCTGTAACCATGAAAAGAGCGTTATGGTTAAGCTGGACAAAAAAGCAGGTGTGGGATATTTGAACTGTAAGGTGTGTAATCAACAATTTCAATGCGCAGTGAACTGTGAGTGATCGTATTTAATTTATGCCTTGCCAGTTTGGCTAGTTTAATTTGACCTGGCATTTAGGCAGGTTCTGATTTATTAATATTGCACTATAACAGTAAATATTACTAACAATTCTGGATTTTTAGATCTTTCAGCTGCGGTAGATGTCTACTCTGATTGGGTCGATGCCTGCGACGCTGTAGCTAAAGAAGATGGAGAAGAGCCTGAACAAGTACAAACGAGCAGTCGACCAAATGGCGGTGCAACTTCATCCCGGACTACACCATTAAAGAAAAAGCAGGTCGGTGAACAAGGGGGAACGAGTAATTCGAATATCAGTTACAGTAATCTTCATACAAACCAATCGATGTTAGCATACGATGATGATTATTGACTTAATATATTACGAACAGGGAAAGGGGTTTAAGGATTGGTAAGTCCAAGACGACTTCTTTGGGGTTATGTGGGCGTTCTGGCGGAAAGATACAACGAGAAGAGTTTTAAAAAATGACACGAACTGTTGCCCAATTACTGTGGACATGGTTTTTTGGCTACACACATTACCTTTTAGCCAACATCCTACGATCCATCAATGGCATGAATGAATTTGAATAAGATATTGCATCTCTTCGTGAAATCTGAGGAAAAATACTACAATGGACACCATGGTGTATATCTACAAGGTATAGAATCGATCACCGAAATCCCCCAGGCCTGGGATAATTAATCTAGTTTATAAATGTTAGCCGTATCGTCACCCTTTATTTTACTGACTTGCTTTTTATTATTTAGACCCTAGAATATATCAGTAGAAAACCTTTGGAATCACGGATGAAGGAACAGACCTGATCAATAAATGCTGTAACTATCCGTAGCTTCGGAAATTTACTAGCGAAGCTTTCAATTCCCTCGGGACTAGCTATCAAGTTTAAGAATAGTATTCTCTCTTGGGATACGCCGCGTGAGATCAGGACTTCAACTGCCATAGTCGCTGATCCACCTATTCGAAGCATTGTTATCAGTAGCCTCTTATTTTTGACTCAAAAAAACATGATATCTTGACTTACCGGTAGCGAACATGGGGTCTAACAGTAGAACCCATCGACTAGCAATATCTTTGGGCAACTTGTCATAAAAAAGCCTAGGTAGGCTAGTTTCCTCGTCGCGTTGTATAAGAATCTTACCAATACGTACACTTCGACAACAATCACGTAGCCCTTGTTCCATGGCTTCACCTGCTCTCATGATACTCACACCACATATTTTTCCTTGGAATTTGACACCTTCATACGTTTGACCAACAGGCGTAGTAACAGAATGTTCTATCACTGGCAGATGATTCAAGCCTTCTTCAACAAGCAATCGGATTATGCGGTTGCTGTAGAATATAAAATCTGCGCGGGCTGTTGATTGGTCACGGATTATACTGGGTTTGGGGTTGATCAGTGGTTCGGTGCACTACCTAAAACAAAGAATTAGAACTCACGTTAAAAGGGCGATAAGCTGTGGTGTTTGGGGTAACGTGTGAACGTTTTCGAAATGCATAGGTATTGAGACTGTGGCTGTAGGTTTTTGTAATGGGTGCCTGTAATCCGGTCCAACACACATCTTATGAGATACGGGGTCCATTTTTGTGATTAATGTAGGACTGAGATCTATCGTTTATGTGACATGTAAATTGAAGAAATAACCTCTTAAAGACAAGTTCTCGTATCTACTAGTTACTCTAACTTTCTTAAAATCAGTATTAAAAAGTTGAGCTTTGTGTACCAGGTTCGGATAAGGCTCTTGTTCTTTAGGCTACGACAATTGAAAAAATATAAGAGCCTTATAAACCAAACAATTTGACCTGGCCGAAGTTTGACACACTATTAGAACTTGATTGCACTTTGATATTGACGAAAGCTGAGGACGAGTACGTACAGCTGGGTAGATGTCAGTTGATGCGAAGAAACGGCATGTTAGGTTCCGATGCCTGGTCTGACTAAGCTGTCTAAACAGTCTGGGCTAGTTGCGGCTACCTATAACACATTTCGTGCCTTGTCCAGTAAATATTGTCTTAACCCAATCAGACAGATATGGATTCTCTATTTGTGGAATTGAGCGTGTTTGGTATTTTTGTTTAATTTTGAACTTATCTAGGAGAAATTTGAAGACTGATAACACCCAAGCCTCATGTGTTACACTCAACTTCCGGAGTCTCTGAGATAAATCAGTTAGACTAAAGCTCGACGATGAAAGATAGGTTTCTTCAGGTGCATCTCGACTTCTCTATTCAATCGTTTCTCATGTCTTACTTATGAATACTTTGCCTTCTCAATTGTACAACCAATCGCAAATAAGTCGTATAAGCCGCAGGCCCTCGAACAACATTTGATTCAAAGCAGAAACCTTGAATACAACTCGAAGAATGGCCGCCCTTCAACCCCATCCTGATAAGAAAATTCCGGCACGAAAAAAAATAATCACATACGGAAAAGTTACGAGGAAGAGAATTTCTTGTAATGCTTTTCACTCGAATTCACAAGAGCCAGATAAAAAAAAAGATGAATATGTCAGGACTGAATCTCCGACCTATACAAATGAATATTCTTTAGAGGCTTCACCGAAAATTAGGGCTTGTAAGGACGTTTATGATGTATCTAGCGACGACAATGATGATGACAACGAACACACATCTCTTTCTCGGCATGGATCCACTACACGAAAAAATTTAGCTATGGAAAAAACTGTGGCTGAAAAGTTGAAGTGCAAAAATATAGAGAATTTGGAAAAAAAGGCATCGAGGCCCCCGAGGACTCCTGCTTCTAAGAAAAATTTACGAAAAATATCAGACTTAACTCCTCAGTTTTTTATCGGAAAAAATGAATGTCTCTTATCTATATCACATCAACGAGATGCAAAGGAAGCTGTTTCGAAGATTGATCTCCCTCTCAAGTCCGGATCAAACGCCCAAAGTACGAAATCAAATCCTATCAGCGCGTGCGATATGGGTGTGAGTGTTTCTAATCTCAATTCTAAACATGAATCCACAGAAAGGAAGTGCCAAAAATATAATTCAGGAATTAAGCTTTTGGAATCAACTACTTCAGTATCAACGGGTAATGAAACAAAATTTGCTGCAATCTCTATCAACCAGCAATCTTATGATTTTTTGGACCAAAATCTCGAAAATGAGCGACAGTGTTTAGCTCCAGATAATACCGAAAGGTGTAAGAAGAAGCTTAAATATTCACCAAAAGACACGAAACTTTCCACATCTTCGACCAAGTGTTTGCACACCACGCAGCATGTTAGAAATATATCCATAAACACTCGCGCTATTTCAAGGGTTAAATTGTTTGATGACAAAATTACCACGTCACTGAACCATATGACTCCCAACGCACAACAATCACCAAGGCCTTCATCAAGTCGAAATTTATTTCCAATGGAACAGAGAGAAGAGTTATTGCTACCATCACAGGATACTGTCAAACAGATACCAGATGAAAGTCAAAATATTTTGTCCGAAAATGATCAGGTTTGGTGCGATCTAATAGAATTTGCCAAAAGAAAAGACGACAAAGATTCAGACCGGAACTTGAATACAAAACAATCAGATGTAATCATCAAATCTTCGGCTAAACTATGTTCTGCGAAGAAGTCTATGCGGGCTGACAGTCTATCTCCGAAAAAAACATCCATATTTCGCAGGCGTCGACTGATAGATTCTCTAGTTGAACAGAGCAGTAACTTCACGCTCCAAGGACACTTATCTGAAGAATCTGAAGCTGAATCAGATGCCTCAAGTATTTTTGATTCTGCTTTCAATATTGACGAACCAAGTAACGATAGCTTTGAATCGACTCAAACTGAGTCTCAAGTTGTTTTTTCAGATAAAAAATCTTTATCTTCATCTCAGGTAACTGAATCAAGGTTTACCTATAGCCGCCAACGATCGATGCTAGCTGAGGAAGACCCAATGAAGGATCTGATTATTGATTTTCCCTTAGCGCATAATAGCTCAAATCCAAAAAAAAACCGTCGGGGCTCAATTCCAAAACTACAACCAATATCTGGTTTTGAAGAAGAAGAAGATGATGATGATGATGAAAACAGTCAAACATTTACAAAAAACGTCCACGAGCTGCGCAAGTCAGGAGCTAATAAACGCTTTGTAGATCAATGTACTGACTTCTTAGATCGAATTGGGTCCCCTAGCAGTGTTAATAGATCTATTAGGCGCTCTGGGCTCCTAGACCTAGCTTACAAGATGATGGACAAAAATTTCGCGCAACAGCTCCGTGTGAATAGTATTGAGCAACAGCTATTTGTACATCTTGATACAGAGACAGATATTATATCTGGGTTTTTAATGATGTCTATACTTATATCTATTTTAACGGAAGGACCTATACCACATCTTATTTCCCATCTATGTCTCCAAGGCATAACAAAGCTAATGATTTATCTTATGAACTGTGAGCTAGAGATTGCTATTGTATGTAAAGAACGGAAGACCAATTTATCCAAAAGTGTACAGTCTCTTATTTTACAACATCATGCTGATCTTCTTCAATCAGCCGTTTGGGGGGAACTTGAACCGGTAGCTCTCTCGACCCGAATAGTTGCTCTCAAATGTCTGGAAATGATGGTTATCCAAACGCGAGAAACTAATAGTGCAAATAAAATATTTTGTGACACTCTAACCACCACACTTTTCACTATGCTGCGATCAGCATCTTACGATGAAACGTCATCTCATCTCAAAACTCTCAAATCTACTGAATTCTCTCTAATCGTGGCAATAATTCAAGCATACTCTACACTTGCTAGTCCAATACTCGACGAGTCTACTTGGATCCGGGAGTATATACCTATTATCGCCGATGTTCTTGAAATAAGTATTTCCCGACTTCCCGCATTACTTGGTACCCATCTTCTTCTTCTTAAAATTACCTTACAGGTTACAAATAATAACCAAACAGCTTCAGATATTTTCGCTCGTCCCTCACTAATACTCAGGATCTCCAAGACTATAGTGTCGCAATTTGACGCAATCTATAGCCAACTTACTAGTGAAAAATTCTTGGAAACTGTTGATCATCTTTCACTGTTGCTTGGTATTCTCATGAACTTTTCGGAGTGGAGCTCCAGAACTAGGGATTGTCTACAGGGATTTCAGCATCAAGAAAAAGATCCCTTGGAAAGCATGTTATTAATATTTGAAGAGCAGTCAGAAAATATTTCTCAGGTAAGTCTCCTCGATTTTATGGAAATTATTATATTATCTGAAACTGATTTCCCTCTACTATAGGCCGAATCAGAACAAGAAACACTTAAAAACGTATTGCTCGGTTATTTGGCTGTAACCCTAGGTTTCTTGTCTCAGCATCCAATGATAGACGCTAGGAGTTTAGCTCTGAAAAGCAAGCTGATATGTTGTATCGAGGAATTTATTTCTATTCACCGGCTCGCAGATCTTAAAATGGCGGAAAATAAGGATTCTTCTCCCGATGAGCTTGAAGAAAACGGCTTACAAGTTGAAGGCCAGACAGAACTAACGGAGAGATTAGAACGATTAATCTGCCGATTGAAGTTAGAGTAGTACAAGAACTTGATAGAGCGTTGTCAATTTAAGGATCATTCCGCCGAAACGAGTTGTTGGATTTCTTCTAATGAGCAAAAAATTCACTAAGCCTGTAGTAATTGGGATACATTTATTCAATGAATATCGGGACTGACCAATCGATTACTTCCGATTGCTTAGGATGGGCAAAGTAAGCTTGTCGAAGAGAATTTAATAAGGGTAGCCAGGCCGTTTTGAACGAGGGCTGCAGGGGATAAAAAGAATCCACTTGTGATACATAGATAGTCGTCAATATTACGAATTCAGAATTTTACATCAAACAAATGCTTTTTCTTTTGCCGGCCTTCTCCTTTATGCGAGGCTTGCGCTCACTTGCATCTTATTTTATTCTAACTCAACTTACTACATATCTATTATTAAGCCCCTAAAAGCTTTTTATTTACACCCGGTTTCATATCCAGTCTCTAAAAGTCTTTCTTTTCGATATTTATTTTGAATTTGATTTCATTATCCTGATTTGGCGCCCTATGGGCACATGCAAGTATCTACTAACTGTAATATTTACACGGGAGGAGACCTTTATGGTGAAAACCTCCCGCACCTTTCTGCTTATTGTCTTTAGTTTTCAAATATTTTCTTCAGAAAGCGCAGTTACACTATAGTGCCATCCATGTAAACCAACCAGATCATCTCTAACCGCTCAAAGCATTACTTGATCTCTTCCTTTCCCTCAGCAGTATTTCGGCCGCCTTTGTCATCTGGAATTACTCTATCCAACCATGATTTAGGATCCACTGTGTTATACTTTTGATGTCTCCAGGATCGTTTATCATTGCTTCGTAGGACCGATCTTTGGTTTGTCCGCAGATCTCAGCTCTACCATTTGACCATCGGGAGCAGGCCATAATCATCTGCTTGGGATTCTGTGATTGGTAGCCACATGGATAACCTGGACTTAATATTCGGGGTACTTTTCTTCTGTGCAAATAAGAGTTAAGCCCCATGTGCTCGCTTCGTATTTGCATTGCTAGACTGCTTTGGGCCCTAGTCAGGTTACGTTGTAGAAAAAATGGCGAGTCTCGACTCTGTTTTTGCCATCCAGACTCTCTACTTTGGTAAAATTTGGCAGCTCCCCAAGTTTCGGGATCTGTAGTTGCTAGCTGCCGAGGCTGACAAGTTTGTTTCTGCTTGGCCCAGGGTTTTGCCCACTCTTGGTATGCCATAACTTTCACTATCTCTGTATATGTCTTCTTGGTTTATTGTTCACCGCACATTCCTGTCCAGTTGGCAAGATCTATCCGCCTGTTGATTGTTCATACATATTTTCCCCTTTTTTCGGGCAGCTTGATTTTACTGCAGGCGAACTGGATTGTTTTCTGGACAGGTATTCGATATTTATTTGATTTTTTGTGTCGCACTATGTAAATTCGTCTATTCATGTACTCGAAGGTCACGAGCCAGAGTCCCGGGTTCAGGATTAGTACAGGATCGATGGAGCTGGTGACAGCATGCGCTAGGACAACTAAAGATAGCGGCCTGCAGAATATGTCTTAGTAATGAATATGACGCTTAGTACTAGTATAGGATACTTTGAGATTATTGAACTGGCGAGATGTCAGTTGTCGAGGATGGCATGGACGAATGGGAGCCAATTGAGTCGAGTAAAGCAGGCGAGGAGAGAATAAGTATGATGAGATCAAGAAGATAACTAGAGGTGTGCAGAATACGAATATTATTACAAGTTAAGGAGGTCAAAATTACTTTGAGGTAGCTCCCATTTCCATAAGTACGACCAAAACTCGAAATCAACCCTACCAATGCTATGGAAAAAGAATGCGATCGTAGCTTCAGCTATGACCACATTAAGATCGAGGCAAGCCGGCGCAATATATGAAACCAGTATCTAATAGTAACTGTTTAGCTCATCCCCAGAATCTTCGCCCGAGTGCCAAGTGCGGTCTACATCGAACTCTATGATGTAAAATTGAGTTCATATCTGGTTCGGAATGTCTTGCCATAATAAAGCCGTCTTGGGCGTTTTTACCATCTCTAACGCCGAGATTGCTATATCAAAAAATCCGCAGAAAGCTTAAAGATACTGTGAGGAATCCTCCTACCATCCTTACTTCAATAAACGGCATCACCCTTCTTTCCACACCGCTCATATCCTGGCGGCATGGAGATGGAAACCAGACAGTTGTCATCTGTGAACCTAAGAACCTCCAGCTCGCACTGTAGAGTCTACAGAGGCGAGATGGAATAAACTATTCATCCTTTATTCCGTGGAGATTCCCAAACATTTCATTGCAATCAGTAGAGTCTTCTTCCAGTAACACTATCGTGCAGCTAATCACGAATAGATCAGATGGTAGAGTATATAGACATAATTTTAGGACTCATACTTGACCGCTGCATTCTGTAGATTTAGCTGTAGGAGACCCACGAGTCATATTATCATTATACTCTTTCATTTGTGATCGATCACACTACACACCCTGCTCATCACAAACTCTTCATTATAGAGAAGCCTTCCAATGAGTCTCTAGAGCATACCCAGCACCCGATACGGCAGTAATAGATCGGATCAAGTTGACCTCTAATGTTACAAGTGTTGAACGGATTGGTTTGCAAAAGCTTGTGGCTGCCAGGCAGAGATTATATCACTTGGTGAAGCGAGGGGGAAAGTAAGGGAGACTGTAAATCGGTCGTGGAGAGTTGTTAATTACTCCCACTAGGACACAGAGTGCTGTATGAACTATGTTTTGAAATAATAAAATCTAGTGGTTGGTATTTACGTCAAAGCGCAGTAATACTAACCTCACAGTTAATGGGAGATAAGTGACGTGTATTCTACACATCCCTGTCTTTACCATAATTGGAAGCACCAATTTCAACAGATGGTAGTCGGCGTAGTTCCCGTAGCCTGTTCTGAATTGATAGGAACTATATCCAAGGATTCCTCTCCTATGCTGTATTACTATACTCTATTTCATTCTTATGAGGGTATATTGGCCAGTTCGGGAACCATGGAGAAGGATTCATAATGGGCACTCTGAGTGAAACGAGTTCGGCAATTTATGGTCTTGTACTATTGGAAACCTTCCTAATCGGGGACTATTCCAAACACCTGTCAGTGGTGTCCTCCACAAACTTCCAGCTCTCACTGTAGAGTCTGCAGAGCCGAGATTGAGTAACATCTTCCTCACTTCGATGAGGATTCCGAATCGCTTGTGCGGTCTGTATCGTCTTAATCTCTCAACACATTCCCCTATTACCATTGCCATGAAGCTAACCACGATCAGATCAGATGGTAGGGTCGGACCCCTACTCATCACCAACCCTTGATCCTGGAGGAAAAGTCATCCGATGAGTTTCCGGAGCGTACCCAGCACCCGATACGGAGATGGTGGATTGGATCAAGTCGGCCTCGACTGTTACAAAGAATGGAGACATAGATGAATATGCGCACCTCATGTGGTCCCGGTGTCTAGGCCTCGCCTGGCTGGGGCTGCAGGTTTTTTGAGACTTTTTCCCGCGCACGCAGTTTCCATTGCTAGCATTTTCTTTTGGGGTATAAGGTTCCGTGAAAAATATGGCTCAATTCCACGGGTAAACTATGAGCTGTATGGATTTTTATAATGGGCCATGTGTGAGTGATACTTCAAGTATCAAAAGAAAGGAGCTTTATATAAGGTGTAGTCTGGGTCAGAGAGAAGCCCAGCTTGCTAGATACTTATAGACTCAGGCAGTACAACAAGCACCAAAAATAATCAAACATGAGTTTTACTAATGGTTCATATGCTTAGTTGGCACCACATTAGTTTGGATTTATGCTTGAGCTCTTTACTGTTTACACAAGTGTCTAGAGCACATATTCTCTTGTTTGAGTATCAGACCGAACGCGACACTGTTTTTGCACGCTTTATATTCTACCGCGAGAATAATGCGCTTACTATAGATCCGGAAATAGCCATTGCTTACATAGATGGATCCCTTACCAAGAGTAATGTGTGCAACATTTGCTTTGTGATTTACATGCCTTGCACTGGAGACCTAAAAAGCTTCTCCTTCAATCTTGAAAGCTCCATTGGAATTACTGACTCTGAAATTTATTGTATTTATAAAGCCATCCAGTTCATATAGAAAAAGCTATCAAATGCAATATATCAAATTTTTAGTGATAGCCAAGCAAGTCTTCAGAGAATACAGTGGAAGACAAACTACCTTTCACACCGAATTCGGAATCTAGCCAAAGGCAGCAGTCTGAGCATTATCTGGTGTCAAGCTCATGAGGGTAATGAACTTGCTGACTTACATGCAAGGGGAGTAGCAAAGAAGACAGCTTCAAGATATGACAAATTTACGTCCCATTATTTTCTGAAGCAGAAAGCAACTGAATATGTTTCAAATGCTTGGCATAATGACTGGCTAACAAAAGTTCCCCGAGAAAAGAAGGGTAGAAAGTGCAGGGGACTTGGCAAGTTCTACAGAATTCAAGCCCAGATGCAAAGACCCAACTTTTCTCTACAACCATTTAACTCTCAAAACCATGGCATGATTGTTGAATCGGCATTTTTCCAGGCAAGAACTGGGATTGGAAGTACCAGGGCTTACCTGAATATAATTGGAAAAGTTAAAGATGAAAGTTGCAACTTTTGCAAGGCTAAAAAGCAGAACGTAAAACATTTAATTCTTCATTGCACCAGATATTTCAAGCAAATGGAATTAGCCTTTGCTAACACCAAGCCTCTTTCATTACCGATTTTATTAAGAACGAAAATGGGGAAGGAAGCCCTTCTAGAATTTTTGAAAACATCCAGGTGTATGTGTCAGCATACAAAGGAGATAATATAGGTACATAAATAATGGACATGAGGACATGTGAATAAGTGATTCTGGGCGTTAACTGGTGTCATTCTGCGATGTAAAAATAAATGGATATTTAGTTGTCATAGCTAGATAGCTGAATACAATATGATTCATAAAAAGAAGTGTGCCTACTACATCGCGCAATGCTTTCGGTTGGTGCTACTTGCATGGCACATAATACACAAAGCTTCGGTAGGAACTTAACAATGACGTTGACTGTGCAATTTAAGGTGGAAGTCAGAAGTATTATCCCAAGTTTCGTCTAGTGATAGTAAACCATAGTGGGTGCTAGACCAGATTGCTTAGTTAGGGCGATTGAAATACTTCGCATTAATGACCAGAGCGAGCACAAATATTGTCAAAGCTTTACTCTTAAAGTTTACAATGACGTCATGGTTGGTTCTGCCCAAAGAAATACATCGAGTTAACTTATTTTTGAATTAATTATGATTACTCTGTCGTAGGAAAAGTTTCTAGTCTATTCGATTACCACTCGTCTATATTATATTTGTGTACTCAATTCTATTCCCGATTTAGTCGCACAGTTGTGCTTTCATTTTTTGTCTGCAAAATAATAATTTATCGTCTGATTTCGTCATTTGAAGGGTGTAAATTCTTTACCTTTGTTTATATGCGATCGCAAGAGCCGGAAGATGAGTCGCAACCAGCTCCACAATAATATGTCTATACGTACGTATTATTAGTCTTACATTTTTTCGTAACATGAAATCCATAATAAAATTTATGCGTATCTGGAGGGATATGTTCCTTTTTGTATTCCACATGAGTAGGATACATTATCACACCAAAATGAATACATCTAGATCATATTTTTGTGAGTATGAAAATTGAAAACTTACTGATGATCCACACCACCCAGAGCTTGAACAACAGTTCCCAAAAGTTGATCCTTGACAAGTGACAGTAGCACTACATGAGCCATCCTGCGATACAGATTTGTTGTTTACTGGCGCAGCCGGCTCATTGGGAGTCGGAGATGTTTCACATTGATTAGACGCAGCATCCTATTGAAAAATGGTTGGTTAGACGATTCTTTTAGCTGGAGGGCAATTACGAACACAATCTATAGAGGTCAAGTTAGCAAGGTTTCTCATATTAAGTGAGAAAGTCAGGTGTGGGAAAGTTTGGTCATTTAGATGATGGTGTAGGAGGAATATTTACTAAAAACGAGAATTATTACCCGAACGATACCAATTGGCAGCTGGGTCTCCAAGGCATTCACCAATCGTAACAGATTTGAATCCCTTTGAATACATAGATTGCAATATATAATCTGTGAGATTGTAAGCAGTTTGATAGTGTATATCGTGTTCGATCTCAAGAAGAGAGTCGGTGCTAGGTTTGACTCCAGCAATAGCTTTGTCCCAAATGTTCTTAGACTTTTGAATCAGTGATGCATCATCATTCAGATAACCAGCTGTATCAACGTCAAAGTCTAGTGTATTTAGCATATTAAGCGAAAATGATTGTTGTACTAACAAACTACATGATATCCGAGCCTGCTCATTTTAGATCCGCAGTTATCCTCGGCACATTGGGAATATGGTGGTCTATGAATATTAGATGTTCATTTTGAATCACTTTTTGTCAGGAAACTTACCTCATGTATGTCGGGAAGTAGCCGAGAATGTTCCGGAACGCTTCATGGTATTAGAGAGGTCAGAATTTAAATGAAAATTGCATACCCATTTCATTATAAATTATCTGATTCTGGAATGTTTCAGAATCAACTTTGTCTAGACTTTGGTGTGACCAAGTGTGAGATGCAACTTGGTGTCCTTCAGAAACCATTCGCTTGTTTTTGTTAGTGAGGCAACAATTTATGATGTTGGAAGTAACCTTAATCACATTACTCCACGCTGGAGTGACGTCAATTGGCCCTTTGTTAAGGTTATTTCCAGTAATGAAAAAGGTGGCTTTCGCGTTGTATCGTTTGAATTTATCCAAGACATCAGCCGTGTATAGATAAGGTCCATCATCAAACGTTACTGCGACAGTCCCTGGTGTGACGCAATCGTATATCCCAGCACCGCCATATGGAACAGATCCGATGTGAGGACGCGGAATATTAGCTGTTGAAGATCCGGCAGGCTTAACATTGGCGTCACATTGAGGGCCATATTTATACTGGCAATCGGGAGAGGTGCAATAGTCTGGTCCAGTTCCGCAATAGCTTGTGTATACTGTTAAAAACTTTCATATTTTGACAGGCTATTTCTTACCCATCAGGTGAGCAGCAATTCGTGCAGGAGCCTAGGCCTGGTCCACAGCGTCCGTCAGAGGTCTGTCGTTTAACACTAGATCGATGTACTGTTGTGATGTCTGTGGATTTCAAAAGATTTGACCGCGATTTAATTTCAGAGAGAAATTGCCGTGCTCCCACGATCTTTGGAGCGCCGTGGTCATCTCCAGAATGTGCATTAGTAAGAAGAGCAAAGATGAGAGAAAAACAGAGCTCGAGCTTCATCTTTGGCTCGTTGTCGAGTCACTATTACAAATTATGACAAAAAATTATTAACAGATTAGGAAACTGGATAGGAAGACTCCAAAAAGACTGTAATTAAGCTGTACAAGGTTTGAAAAGAGTCAATGATTAGCGAGTGTTTGTGTTTGTCTCGTGGAAACGAGGTGTGGGATGCCTTTGAAAATAATAGTTGGTCTGCAACTGACAATTGCGGATGACACGAAGCAGCATTGTATCTTCTCGTTTTGACCTATCCAGGCATGAAAAGATGAGCATTTCTCCTCAGTAGGATAGCAAGGGGATAGTTTCAGAGCTATGTTGCGCTCGGATCTGAAGAAGCAAAATAATCCATGAAGTTCCTAATGAGGAAATTAAGCTGATAAGGAGAGATTAATGCCCAGTCTCCGACGTCTGATATTTCATTTGGCCGGCTATGTTGGCTTTGGTTGATACGTAACATATCCTGAAGTTGGAAGCTATGCTGTACTTACGGCCAGCTCGGCTCCGTTGCGCTCAATGCTGGAGAATTATCTGTTGCCAACGATTGTGCGTGGGCAGCAGTTATCACCATTGTCGGTAGCCTTGCCTATAACATTGACCTCTGTATCAGCACTTAGTATAAGGATTCGTGTGGGTGACATTCATCCCTGCGGCAATCTTGATCTGCATTTTAAGCTTTTGTAGCGTAGATCTTCAGATGCTCTAACTGATAGATGCATGTGTTGGCAGGCACGACGTCTGATAAATAGGTCATAGATAGCAGGCTAATCCATGGACCCGCCTTGGCCTTGGAAATCTCGTATCATCCCTTCCGAATTTCCTTTGCCCCTCGGAGCTGTTCAGGTCGGTTTGGCATAAACTAAAATGGACCCACTCTATAACTGGGGCATGGGACTGAAGACTGAACCATTGGAATCGTGCCTCTTAGCCGATTTTGTAATTACCAATTCCCTAACTAATAAAGCTAGGTGTGAGGCCAGGGATGCAGAGGCTGATAGTTGCCTAGTATGTTAATACACACATAATATCACTACGTAGATGTGAGATGCTGAGCTATAATAAGCTGGAATTGTAGTTGCACTTTTGGAAAGATATATGCAAAGTTCACAAATATGTTGAATGTTGTAATGCATTTCTGAGCAATCAAATGGCGGGTTTATGTACTCATGAGAATAGGGTAGTCATTAATTTCTTTGAAAGGGTACTCTCAACATCCTAAAAATTAGCCTGTAACTGACCAGGTCTGAGACTCTTTCGGACGATGGTTGAGCCCATAAATGAGTCGAGAGGCTTTGAGCTAAGATTCCGAGCGACTTGTCCACAAATCGGCAGAACTTTCAGGTCAGGTGCTCGCGTGATCGTCCAAAGCCTATGCTAGAATTCAATAATTTCAACTGATTTTAATTTCAATATCCCTATATGACATCCTGAAGGTCAATTCAGGTGTTCACCATCCATTTAAATTTACATTAAAAATTCGTTGAAGTTTTTTGCATTAGATAATAGTGTTGTAATCTAATACTTTTCATCCTCAAACTTCATGGTGAGCAGTGGATTTACAGCTTGCGGTTCCATGCTGGGTAGAAGGAACAGGATGGCTAAAGCCGCTAGCCAGACCTAAGCGATTTGGCCCTATTTTGTATAGATAAAAAATTACTCTAATATTACATAACAATAGCAAAGAACTCAAACGTCCATACTCCAGTTATCTTACGTATCTTAACCCATAAACCTCTACCTCATTTCTATCACTCAACTTTATAGCTTCAACAAAAAGCAGTGTATTCAGTTAGCTGGATATGATACACTATCAGAGAAAAAGTATAGAAAGATGACTCAACTTATAGGTAGAGTACTAATGCCTCAGATCTCATTCGCAATACTAAAGAGGCTGGCCTGCGAGGCAATGATCCAAGAATCTCTCTGAAATCAAATTTTCCTTCCGAATGAGATCGATCTCCACAAAAACCTCTTCAAGTTTACAAGCACGACTTAGTACATCCTCATTACTATGGCCACAAATCTTATCGACTATTCTTGGCCTCAGCTGGCGACCAAATACACGCCCGCATCGATATATGTCCGAGTGAGGAAAAAAGTGTGGCGCACAAAATTAGGAGGCAGTTCTTAGGATGGGCGCGTGAGGTATCAGGAAAAGTTTACAAGATGACATAGAAGATGAATACAATCACGAAATGAGTGAAATTTCGAATTATGGCAGGGAAATCTACGTAATAAACCTTGTGTGTGACAAGACTTTGGTTGTGAGAGTGTTGGCGAAGCTATGAACACCGCCATGTTTGGATGGTGAGGTGGTACGTCATCTGATATTATTTGGTTTATTAATAAGACAAGCAATTAGCACCCTCCGCACTACCATTGGAGCTTAATCATGAGTGGGGCAGGGCTGGATCAGGATAACTACCATATGTCTATAATAAAACTCGTTCCACCTGAGTGACCGGACTACCTAGGACATAACCTATGTTTTGAACTTAACAAGTCCAACCGTCCAGAGAACCCGACTTTGAAGTGCCGGAGCGCGATTTTGTCCTCAGACTCGGCCACCACGCGCCAGAGCTCATGATATCATCCCAATCTAAAGTTTGTGGAATCCAATCAATCCCAGTTATTATTCATCCCAGCATCTCCTCATCTCATCAAGAGGTATTTCTTCACAATGAATACCTGATACAGCCGTCCACCGAGGTATCCTAAGTTGTTTGGATTAGATTCTAATCAGCAATCCCTAACCCAATTTTGTTAGACAGCAAGCTTCTATCCTAGGTATTCATGGGGTCTTAATTAAGGTTATTGTTAAGGTTTAGCTTCGGTTATTTGATTGATCACCGAGCGTGCCGCATATCAAGCAGGCACGTAGCTCAGGCGGAAGTATCACACGGCAAAGTATATCTAAAGCTGCAACGTATTTTGGTAGCTAAAAATACTGCTATTTGGAAACTATAGCTCTAACCCAGAACCATGAGATAAATCAAGAATTGCACTAACACTATTACTTCCGGTGCGGATACCGTAAACTTTATTGTTACTCGTAGAAGTTTGTCTTCCTTCTACCCTCTTCTCTTGCCCTCATCGTAGCCTCGACTTCAAGCATCAGTCGAAACTGTTCTAGCCGACCTTCCTGCTGGATCCATTTAGTTATCCTTGCTATATCCTTGGAGTTATTCATCATGGCCTCAAATGACCGGTTCTCTACCTTTCTCGGAATTCCTTCTATTCCTTTGTCCCAGCTGGTACAGGCCATGATCATTTGCTTCACATTCTGGGATGGATACCCACATTGGCATCGTGGATTATCTACTCCTAGAACTTCTCCTGTGCAGATAGGAATTGAACCCAATGTGTTCGCTTCTGATCTCCATGGCTATGCTGCTCTGGGCCCTGCTCAGGTGTTTATGGATACTGGAAGGTGTTCCTCTTTGTCTTTTGTTTTGTTTTTATTTTAAAGTCCTAATCTAAAGCTCTAGGTCCACTATCGGTACAAGACTAGTGGAGCCAGTAGGGTTCTCTGCGTACAGGCCCAACTCATTCCAACCGCGGGAACCTCAACAAGAGTAGATGAAGTTAACAACAAAACTTAAAACAAAAAACGAAAATAATAATTTAGAAGAATTTCATGTGTGGTCCAGATCTCGCGCTTCTCGTCCGTTTCCTTCCCTGTCACATCTTCTGAGTGACTTTTCCTAATCTCCGCTGAGAGCAAAAGATGAGCTCTCAGGTAACCTTTGCTGTCGGTCGGTTTCCTGCTTTTTGTTATGAAAGTTGTCGTAGACTTTACCAGAGACTGCCGAGTCCTCAAACTTCTTTGGTTTCCAGAATTCCGAAACCCGATCCCTCCGCCATGGAGACATCCTTCGTAGAGGCGTTCCTCGCCTCTTCGTCCTTTTTGTATGCAGCTTTGACACGGGCAAAGTCTGCATATCTTTCTTGCTCGACTTTGCGCATTGCTGCCAGCTGTTCCTTGGTCACCGGTCCATCTTTTCTGGGTCTGGCTTGGCGGTGCCGAGAGTCCGATCGGTGAGGTCCCCCACAATTGCGACGTCGTGTGAGGGCCTTGCACTCCACTTCCGAGTGCATGTTTGAGCCGCAGATTCAGCAAGCTGGAGCGCGGGAGCATCCGCGGCTGGCGTGATAGTCAAGACAACGTTTGCACTGTTCGAGTTGGTGACGAGGTCGGAAGAGCTTCGCAGCTCAAGAATCGTCGAAGAGGCGGAATCCAGGTCGGGGCGTGGACTCGCGAGGAAAGAGGGCTTGACAGTTCTCGTATGGCGCCCTAGGCTTGCAGAACCCGTGCGGACAGACAAGAAACGGAACCGATTTTGTCACTCGCGTGACTTCGTCAGCAACCATCTTTGCCGTGATCTCGATGGGACCTGCAGGTGTGTTTATTGTCACCGGTACAGTGGCAATTTGCGAGGCAACTAGATTTGACGCTGGTTCCAGTTTGATTCCAGATTCGCTCCGTAACATAGAGGAATCTAGGAGCTCTTTCCGAGCGAGCTCATTCTTTGCTGTCAGTGCAAAGCCTGTTTTGACCCGCTGAACCAACGTGATGTCGTCGGCAGCGGTACCAAGCACCTGTGACACAGCTAATCTTATGCCAGCTGGTGATAGGAGTCGGTGGGGGTGGTTAAATTTGAGGCGTAGAAAAAGTCTCGCGTCGACTTTTGCCTTCGGATTGGCACTTTTTGCCTTTGGGGCGGGCGGTGCTGCCTTTGTAGTCGACGGCCCGGCGCTGCGGCCTAGACCAGCACGGGCTACTGTGGCCCAAGTCGTCTTTGGTGCCGGAGCCTGGGTTGTCGAAGGGTTTTGAGCCCTAATTTCTGGAGCCCTCGTCGAAAGAGGGTTATTGGGGCGAGCAGGGAGAATCGGTTGTGTGGTCCCTGGGCCTAATTGTACAAACTGGCCAATGGCCGCTCGTAGGTAGACTTTTATGCCGTCTACGAATTTTTTATTATCGCCGATCGAAAGTGCTGCTTCGA